GCAGGGGTCTTCTTGGAATTCTATCTCGACAAATATCGTACAGACTGTACTTTACACACGAGATGCATACAATATCTCTGTTGTTACCGAAAAATGTAGATTATAAATTAAATTATAAATAATATTTTTCAAATAATGGAAATTCTGAAATACTTTTTAACCTTATTTACACCACCCAAATTTTACTAATGTTTTTAAAATTGTTTATGAGTAAAAAAAATCATTTCCAATTCAATATGAACTACATTTTCTTCGTATTGTCTGAAGATTGCGATCGTCATCTATGCAAAAATTCTGGGTTGTTAACCATTGGGCATAGTCCATCCCTGGCGTTCTGGACATAATGAACCACCACATTTGCATCATCCTGAAGTTAACAGTTTAGAAACTGTAAATAAAAAGAACTTTTTAATTTTCACCTTTGAGGGCCAGTAACTTGTTACCGAAGGCCCGTATGAAAAAAAATTATATGAGGAACTGATATTATTTTGACCTCATCTATTTGTACTCTACTTTTTTGTATCAAGTCCCGGAACATCTTGTATATCACACACGTCAATAAGCCTTAACGTTTCTGAAATCAATCTATTTTCGTATTTTCGTTTTCAGTACTCCGAAATGACGTTACGTTCTAAAATTATTTTATATAGGTTTGAATTTGATTGTTTTTGTCTCTATGGCTAAAGATGTTAATTTTTTTTAAACATTGAATATATTTTTCTGTGGTTTGTTACTGTAAAAAAAGTTGTATTAATAGTTGTTAATTGAGCACAAAATTTAGATTTTCGAAGAAAAAATCATTTCATTTACATTGTGTGATAATTTCCGCAATGAATTACCGGGTATAATTTTTTCACCATCAATAATGGTACATACAGCATATGTCTGTTTTAAAAATAGCGCTCAAAGGAACCGAAAGGTTTTTCATTTGGCAAACTTTTAAAAAACAAATTCCACAGCTGTTGCCATAACTAAAATAAATATATTTTCGTATTTTATAATAGACCATAATTAAATTTAATTTATTTAACACACAAACTTCTTACATTACTTTGTTCCATTCCCGTACACAAAGTAATTCAAATATTTTTTTGACTGAATCATGTAGATATGAGTAGGTACTTCAATAAGTACGGAATATTTACTGCAGTTAACACTTTGTTAAAATATAATGCCCTAGGAGTCACCAATTAAAATATAGGAAATAATAACATAACTATCGTAAAAGCATGACATAAAAAGACGTATTAAGGTGGCCATATCTCTGGCCGAGAAATAATCAAATTTCGGACGTTTTTAGGTACTCAAATCTTGAAAAGTAAAATGTGTAGAACAAAAGTAAGAACAAAAATAAAATCCTTGATGTTCTGTTCATTTCATTCATTGTTACTATTTAAATTAACTCAAATAAAATAATAACTTAAAAAAAAGCGTTTGTAAAACATGCGTCTGCTGTTCCCATCCTAATCCCACATTTTAAGAATTATTTTCACGTACTTATAAATAAAGGTAAACAATTTTATATGTAGGACTAAGCAAGTAAATGTTATAAGAATATTTACATGTGGAGTTATATACAAAAATGTTAGTTTTTTTTGGTAGATTTCAGTATCTAAAACCTTGATGGTTTGATCGTTTTTTACACCTGTTTATTCGTTTTACTGCGGCGTCTTTGAAAATACTCAGGTGGCATGACATAACATTCCTATTATTTGATAAGCTTTAGATTATTCAGTTATTAAATGTTTGAAATTATTTGGCAAAATCTGGTACAATCTTACAAATGAAAACTCCTGGTAGAAAATGGCAACAATTTTTCCTGTAGAATTAGGATAAGGATTAAAATTTAGGAAGTATGGCTAGAGATAATGGCACTAAATAACTTACACACAATTGATTACTAGTAATATTGATTATTTTTCCCATTTGGCTAGAATTAAATAAAGGAAATAAAACTCCTGTTCCAAACAAAATTACTCGTCAGGTGGCTTGTAATCATTTATGCAAGCGTATGTTTCAAAGTAGGTAAACGAAATATTTCCTAGGCAAAATTATCGCTTCCCCTTACCATAACTTCATACAAAATATTGCAGCGACAAGTGTAAGCCATTAGGTAGAGGATTCGCATTAGCATTTTCTTCATATTACAGTCTTGCGATACATAAAAGGTTTTAAAAACAACAAGTTATTGTGCGCTTTCAGCCATATCTTATTATAATGAAATGAATACAGTTGTTTATTCTCTGTGACCCTCGACAGCTTTATATGGCTTGTGCATTAATTAAAATACAGCCATTATAATCAAATCAATGTGGCACATCAATATCCATTTTAATTTCACAATTAACATACAGGATTAAGGGCAACGATCAAGATTCCTATTTTCATTGCTAGGCTTACCCTGCTTTAGCATGATATATTTGTGTTTTCCTTCTACGTCTTTAGATATTCATATAAAGTTGTGCTAATATGAATATCTGTACCTCAGAGCTAAACTGTATTAAGTGCCAAAAATGAAATTTTACAGGAGAGAGATTTAAAGATTTAAATTTTGCTTATCATTCCATAACTTCGAACTCTTCTCCTTGATAAAAAAAAAAATAATATGATGTGAAGTTATACGTCTATTTTAATATTATTTATTGTAATTTAAAGAATAATTTTCTATTCGTATTTTTTTTCGAAAATATGGAGTTAACACTATTTGGCACAAACATGATTTAGGGATTTTATATTATAATATTTACTAATTGTGCGATAATACTGAGGATAATACTGATAAAAACTACCAGTTTAATTTTTTTTTATTGAAATAGTACATACAACAAAACAATAAATAAACTACATTCAATAAATATGTTTAAAAATATAAACATCAGATAATATTCATAAAAAAAACTAAAGTTTAAATAAACCAACAACACATTTGATTTTTAATAAACTAGATAGAAAAAACAAAAACAAATGTAATTATTATTCTTTAAACAGAAATGTCGCCTTTACATGTCATCAGTCACTTTTTCAATAACTAATAATTTACCAGTTATATCACCAACACTACAAAAACACGTCTACACATGATGAATGTGGATATAATACTAAAGTAAACCAACATGATCTTGATATGTGTGAAGTTAATACTCCGAAGTCAAACTAATAGAATATTAACTCCACATACAACACCTGTTTGGCTCGGACTAAATTGATGTAACAAGGAACTTAATACTGTGGAAATGAAACACGGTTAATATTAAATACACATACGATTGTCTAGCTTGGAAACAGGTTGGGACTTTTATTATTTAGCACTGTCTATCTTCAAAAATATCATGAGTGGGAGTTATTACTGTTTATCACGTGAAAGAGCATAAGAAACTGTGTTGGGCTGTCAAATAATCCCATTTTCGTAAAAAGTGGAGTTAATACAGTTTAGCTCTGAGGTGCAGATATGCAATCAAGATCAAGGTAAATACTAAAGAGAAGTATTTAAATAATCTAAAATGGATACCTTTTTATTTGTTCGGTTTTAGAAGAAACTTCATTCAGAGGGCTCTATAGCGAATAGGCAACCAGCAATACGTTTTTCTAGATTTTATTACACAGTTTGTCTACATATGAGTCAATGCACAAAATGCAGACTTTTCCCCATTTTAACGCAAATTTTCAATAAAATGGACTTAGTTTGAAACTTGAATAACTTTTTGATGTAAAGAAGTTTGTAATTTACGACGCAAATTTCAAATTTCTTTACAACAAAAAGTAATTTGAGTTTCAAATTAACTCCATTTTATAGAAAACCTGCGTTAGAATGGAGGAAAGTCTGTTATTGATTCATACTTAGTCAAACTGTGTAATCAAATCTATAAAAATGTATTGCTGGTTGCCTGTTTGCTATAGAGCCCTCTTAAGAGGCTCGAAATAGCCAAGAATTTTTTCGGATTTTATCCCGGATGAGAATTAATTTTAGTTATTCATTAATAGTCAGGAGCTGACATTTTTTTGACGTCATTTATAGAATATTTTAGAAAATGATCTCATTTCTTATTATCAATACATTAATTCATTATGATCTGCACTATATTTCAATGGTTGATAACAACAAACATGATTAAATTATTGTTGTTGGTAAAAGGAGAAGCAGATTATTATTAAAATGTAACAAAGTGTAACAAATTATTGATATTTTCGCAGGAGTTACTTAGCACCAATTGACACAATGACATGTAGAAGATAAATATCAAGTAGATTAGTATGATGCATTCGGCATAATTTATAGATGTTTTTTTTTCATTTTTTTTTATTGATTTGATTTATATTTATAATATTCTGTCAAGTCTTATCGGATAATTTAATTCTGGTCTATAAAAAATAATTTTCCATCTAATAACAATTCCATTTTAAAGTTTTGTGTAAATAGCAACATTTGTTACCTATAAAACCATGCTAATAATTCTGTATTTCAATTACCAGTGCCGTAGATTAAGGGTCAGCCCCTTTTCTCGAAGTATAACTTCTACGCCTATGCAGTTAAGGATATCTGATATAATAACGGTGGTGGCATTTATGTAATTTTTGTAACAGTCATTGATTTTATAGGCTATAGTAAAGCAATTACCGAGGCAATTACTTCGGTTACTACGTCAAAAAATGGCAAAAAAATAAACTTCTGTCAATATGATTAATGAAAAAGTTTATTTGGAATTGTATGAAAACAAGTCACGCGTCAAGTAGGTCACATTTACTAGGAGTTACAAAGTAATGCTTTGTACAAGTAGGTATCGAGTGGCAATGATGTTTAAGATAGTTCATATAGTTTAGGGGTTATATCTCACCCACCCTGTAGGTGTATATCAACATATATATTAGTCTTCAAGTAAATTTTCTGCTGTTTTTACGTTTTTACTTAATTGCATACTACTTACCTACCTAGCACAAATTCATTGAACCAAAAATTGGTTTTGTATAGGTCTTGAAATTAATTACCGTATTTTTTGTTACAGACGCACACACTCTTCGTGGATGCCTTCTTACAAAATAACAGACTGGACCATGTGAGTCAGGTTATGGGATATCATCCCTCATATTTGGACCATTTTCTCAAAACTCAAAATTTCATACTTCGAGGAGACGGACCACTTCCCTTCGATTATAGACATTATATTGCAATTATGGTAAGTGGTTTATCAAAATACATATTGAATGTATGCAGATATTAATTTGTAATTTAGATTTCACTTTCGTTCGCACCAGAAAGTTATTTGAATACAGGATCGGCGTCTGAAGAAGATATTTGCTCGACGCCCTAAGAAAAATGAGTGACAAAATATTCTTCAAAAAAACACAACAATCATAAGAAACATACTTTATAAAATAAGAGATATTCCAAAAAAAAAACTCGGACCCTTTAGCAGGTCTAACAATTGTCCTTAGAACAAAAGCGGACAGTGACAAGTCTTATACCCAAGAATTATTATGGGTTAAAATGCCGCTCTTAAAGAATGGCGCCTGAGTTATCTGGTTCACTGTTTCATTTTTTCCGCACGTCGAGATGAATAATAGACTCTTTTAGTGTGACGTCACATATTTAGGCAACCCGCAACAAATTGTCATAGTTGAAATTGTACAGACCAAATCTGACTCTTGTCTACTATTTACAATATATATTATAGAAATGAACAATTCAAATTAATTTATTTTTACAAGGATGTGGAAATATTTAAGAACAATCAACGCGTGTTTTGTAAAATAGATACACTAATGTGCTTAAAACTTACAAAAAACGATATAAACCTAAATTTAAATAAAGTAAAAATTTAACATTAACCGTGTTATTCCCAATGCCTAAAGAAGCCATTTTTTTTGGCACTTATGTCCAAAGTACATAAGGTCGAAAATCGATCTAGTAAAAATATTGGGAAATTCTTCATGACAGTGCGCATTATGGGGTTGCCTATTATTTGGCGTATTTGGCTACCTGATGATGCGATCTATAACGGATCTCATCCAGATTGTGGAACCGCGCGCCATTATTCTATGGCTAGAAATTGGCCTCAATGATTTGGGATCGAGGGGGATTATCCCTCTTTATCCTGCCTCATCTCGTGTAGGCCTGGACAGCCTTCGTAGGTGGGCCCCATCCGTCGTCTACCCCGACCGCAAATGCGGCCGGTGTAGGCGCTTTGTGGGACCTCCTTTTGTCCTGGCTGGGCCCCGCCGGCTAGGGCCCTTTCTTCTGGCGCTCTTCTTGCTTCGCCGGCTCGTCTGTGTAAACCCCGGGGGTAGTGTCATGTTTATG